AACAGATTGTTCACACTTGTGACCACAGTGGGCAAGGAGCTGGCCAGACTTCTTATCAGCCCTGTCAAATGTTCATAGGACAGAAGAGGCCAGGAAACATAACTAGCAGCTACATCCTTTTGAATTTTGGTGTTTTGTTTGTTTCTTTGTTTCATTGGGGTAGTTATTTTTTTTAGGTAAGGTCTCTCTCATGTAACCAAGTCTGGCCTCTTACTTTCTTTGTAGCTAAGGATAACCTTGAACTTTTGAGCACCCTCGCCTCTAAAGCACTGGAATTCCAGGTGTGTGTCACGGAGCCCAGTTTTGTCTTTGATTTTTTTTTTAAATAGCCAGAATATGGACATCTAGTCATCTTCCTCAACCTGTTATTCTGCCAACAGTTTGTTCATTTAGTGTTTGTAGTGAATTTAGAAAACACAACAAACCCTGATAATGAAAACTGAATATATTTCTTGTTTCTGAATGCCTAATTCTTAGTGTTTAGTGAACTTTCATAGAGTTTCATGAGCAATTATTTGGGTACAGAGAATTGGAAGGAATAAAACGTCTCCTGAAAAAGATTATTGAACTCATCATTAAAAAATATCATTGATTTTCTGAGAATTTCATATATTTTGATCATATTCAGAACCCCACCTCTATCTCCACTCTCCTCTTAACCCTCCCCCATTTCATGTCCTCTATTATCTTTTTTATAGGTCTATCTAGTCTATTTTGTGTGTCTGAATGCCCTTCATTGTGAGTTCATCCCTTGGTGAGCCTGGTCAACCCACCCATCTTCACAACCTCAAAGAAAACTAGTTCCAATAGTTCCTCACCTAGGATTGGAGCTTCTTGCCCACCTTTTCCCACTCCATGCTAGGATTTTGTCTGGCTTGAGTTTGACTAGGTCTTGTGTATGCTGTCAGAGTTGTTGTGAGTTCATATGAGTAACTGCCCTTCTGTTTGAAAAACTCTGTTTCCTTGCAATTATCCACCATGCCTGGCTCTTACAGTCTTTCCACCCCCTCTTCTACAATGATTCCTGAGACTTGGTAGGCAAGGGTTTAATATAGGTGTCCCATTCAGGGCTAAGCATTCCACAGTCTCTTATTCTCTGCCTATTGACCAGTTGTGGGTCTCATGGCTAATTCCCATCTGCTGCAAGAAGCTTCTCTGATGAGAGTTGGGATATTTGTTAATCTATGGCTATAACAGTCATAGATTAAGAGTCTGTTTAATGCTTTGTCCATTTAGCAGAATAAAAGTAATAAGTTCTCTCCTATGGCCTGTGACTTGTCTAGCCACAGGTTCGTAGGCCTGATATCAGTGCCAAGTATAGGCTCTATCTTGAGAATTGGACCTTAAATCCAACCAGAAAGTGGTTGGTTACTATCATAACATTTATGTCACTATTACACCAGTGGGCATTACTCTTGCTAGGCCAGTTGTTATTGTAGCTCACAGAGGTCACAGCTGGCCTAGACTGATGATTACTTGTATCTTCTAGGAGCATATGGAAGCAACTTTCAGCGTTATGAAAGCTAGGCAGTTGAGATGAAGCTTTGAAGTCAGTACCAGCTTGATTCCCCCTTGTTTGTTCTAGTGACTCATGTGTGTAGTATCTTCAGCAATATGACCTTACTATCAGGTTCTGACAGGTAACCAAGAGTGGTAATAGCCAGCATTGTTTAAGGGCTTATAGGGCCCCCATGGTCAACAACTCCCAAAAAGGCATTCCCTTCCTGACACTGGGCTTTTCATTCACTATCCTATGGTGTCTGGTAGGGGTATTGTCCCTACATAATTAGCTCCACTTAAACTCTATTTTTTTTAATTCTTTGGTCACTTTGAGATAGGATCCCCCTGTAGCCCCAGCTAGCCTGGATTGGGCTGGCCTGGATCTCACAGAGACCTGCCTGCCTCTGCCTCCTGAGTGCTGGAATTAAACACATGTGCCACTGTGCCCAGGGAACCTCTTTTTATAGTGTATAGGTATATATTTTAAAATGATCCTATAGTGGTAGGCTTCAAGCTAACTTTTTCAAAAGGTCTTTAGTGCTAGTTTTCCCTCCCCACAGTCCTTCCCCTGCCCTGCCCTCCCGTTCCCCACCACATTAACCCTTCCTGCTGCATTTTTCACCTTTTCTGCGTTTATTTTTTAATATCTTATTTATTATTTTTGTTTTCTCTGTATGTGTGTTTTCCCTGCTTGTGTGTAAGTGCACCTGTGTCATACAATGCCTGCAGAGATCAGAAGAGAGTGTCAGATCCCCTGGAACTGGTGTTGCGGACAGTTGTTAGCCACCATGTAGGTCCTGGGAACCGAACCTGGGTTCTCTGCAAGAGCAGCCAGTGCTCATAACCCCTGAGCCATCTCTCCAGCCCCCATTTCCCCTTTATATCACTGAATTCTATCTCCCCTCCCCATGGCCACTTAGTACTTTCTTGACCTCTGTGGATTTCCAATTGAAACACACATATCTAAAGAGAATTGAGTTTTGTTTATTTTATGTTTATTTTTATTTTTTTGAGACAGAGTCTCCCTGTAGCCCCAGCTGGCCTGGAACTTGCAATGGATAGCAGGCTGGTCTTGATCTCACAGACATTCACCTGCCTCTGCCTCCCGAGTGCTGGGATTAAAGATGTATGTCACCACAACTGGCAAGCATTGAGGTTTTAATGCCATGTAGTTGATGGGAAGTCGCTGGTCCTTGAAGGATCTTTTGGTTGTGAATTGCTCAGCAGGGGTTGATGGGACGTGCAAGGCGCTGTCATGTACAGAAACACATGTCCCTAGGATCCCACTCATAAAGAGCTAGTGCATAAGGTTTGAAAGTCCTTTGGGAAAGATTATTTCACAGGGATTTGTAGCATGGATAGAAATGGAGAAAAGCTGAAGACATAAAGCCAAGGTGTGTGGGTTCTGCAGCGATGCTGATTGCAGACAGTGAAGATCAGGGTCTGGGGACTGGCATGGGGAATGAAGTGGGAAGCCAGTGGTCTCATGTAGAAGGTGGAGACAGGGAAGGGGAAGACTAACTTGTAAAGTTTTCTGCTCCTGACTCAGTTCCCGTGTGTGCAAATGTTGTTCAATAATATGTTCCTTATACTATGCTATTACTCTGTCCTGTGTTATCTTTCAAGACATCAATAATGGAGCCACAATCCTCATTCCTTATAGCTAAGTGGCTAATGAATTGCCTAGGCTTTGGGATGAAAGAGGGACAGTAGATCTACTTTACAACAGATAGTAGATTTTTGTATCTAATTGTGAAATTTTGTCTGGGGAAGAGGTTGTCTGGGTGTGTGGTATCCTTTCTCCTTATTTATTATTTATTTATTCATTGTTTATTTATTTAATTTGTGTATGTATGTGTGTGCATGCACATGTACGCATGTGTGCATAGCATATATACATGCTCCCGTGGGTATATGCACACATGCATTTGGAGGCCAGAGGTTGACATCAAATGCCTTCCTCAATTCCTTCCACCTTATTTTATTTATTTTAATTCTATTTATTTATATTTATTTTATATGTATGAGTGTTTTGCCTACATGTATGTAAGTGCACCCATGTCATGCAATGCCTGTGAAGGCCAGAAGAAGACATCAGATCCCCTGGAACTGGACATTTGTTGCCACCATGTGGGTGTTGGGAATGAATCCAAGTTCTCTAGATAAGCAGCGGGTATTCTTAACTGCTGAGCCAGCCCCTATTTATTTATTTTTTATTAAAAATTTTAATTATGTGTGTGCCTGTGTCAGGGTATGTGCTAGAAGAGGGCATTGGATTCTGTGGCGCTGGAGTTATATATAGGTGGTTGTTAGCTACCCAATGTGGTTGCTGAGAACTGAACTCCAGTCTTCTGCAAGAGCAGCAAGTGCTCTTAACTACTGAGCCATCTCTGTAGCCCCAAGAAGTCATTTTGTTAAGAGTCAGATTATATATATAGGATGTTTGCATCACCCATTTGACAAAGTTATGCAAAACTGATATCCTACTTGGAACCTTTGAAATAATACATGATTTTTTTCTGGCAGACTCATCTCAAGTAATCTAGAAATGTAGATGTTTATAATGTCAGTTTTCAAGAAAGATTTTGTAAAATTAGTAGAATTTATTCTCTCTGTGGCTAAATACTACATGTGTTCAATTGAACTAGAGATTAAAAGTCAAAGGAATTTTGATGTTCTTTATCTGTCTTCATCTGCTTTGAATTTTATGGATCTTTGTGAACAAAACCATGTTTATAAAGGACACTAAGGTTGGCAAAGCCTCTTCCTCCACCTCAAGTGCTTGGTGGACCTCACTGCAAGGTCATACTCCCTGAACTGATTGACATAAACAGAAGACAGATGGCGGAGAGATGGCCTTGATGATAATTATTTTTCAGCTAGTCATGAAGATATTTTGATTACAGTATGCTGGAGCAATTACAACACAGTTTGCAATGTTAAGCTTGCTGGGAAGCGAGCATATGGAAAACAAGTTATGCGTTATTTGTGCCCAACAAAGGATGCACTGTAGTGTAACGATTTTAATTCCTAATGCTAGAATTGGGTGGAAGGCGTTTCGAATATGTCACACAGCAAGGTAAGTCAGTTAAATACAGACCAGATGAAAAGGCAGCTGTGCAGCTCTGAGGCACAAATTCTTGTTTTGGAAAGTATCTAGGTGTTGTCATGTGGGAGAAACCAGTATTTTTATATTTAACCAACAGTTTGTGTACAACTAGTTAAGAAACTGTGTGGCTTGATTTTAAGTTTATGTGACTCAGAATTATCATGAAGCTTGCTTTCTGAATCCTGATAGTTTAAAACTGAAATCAGAGGGCTGGACCATTCCCTAGTATGCTATAATCCAGCTGGTCCCACCCAAGTATTGAGAAAAAAGAGCCAAGCAAAATGTCAGAGGAGGAAAAAAATAACTAGAATTGCATGAATAAGTAGGCTACTTAAATTTCCCTGTCAACTTGCTAATTAAAGTTACACCATTATTTTTGCTTTCTCTCTAGGATAATCGATCACTTAGATGGAGTTCGTATGTTATGGTCTCTGCTGAAAAACCCGCAACCAGATGTGAAGGCCAGTGCAGCGTGGGCGCTCTGTCCATGCATTGAAAATGCAAAGGTAGAAGAAACCACAAGCTGGTCTCTCTAGAACCTCTAAGATGATGCCACCTCAGGCTACTGCTTGCTTTGGACTGGCTTTTGGTCAGCTTTTCGAGCAATGCCTTCTGTTGGTCATTTGAAATGTGCCAGATGGAACTAGACTGAAGTGACAGCGCTGAGGTCTGCTTGTTCTTGGCTCAGGAGGGACGAGAAAACTGGCTGCCTTTCCTGCAGCTTCCAGAGAGGGCAAGCTTGACTGTTCCCCTGGGGTTACAGCCACAGGACAGACTACTCAGGCCTCTGCGACCTTGAGAAATCCACAGTTTTCCCCCAGGATCACTTTTCTTCTCAGGAATGACAGGGTTAGAAATTTCTGACATCTAGTTTAGTTTTTCACATGTACATTTTATTATGCTCTTTAAAAATTTCTTTTCTTTTGCTTTTTTTTTTTGTGGTGCTGGGGATGGAATCCTGGTCTCAAGCATGCTGAGAAAGTGCTCGGCCACATCTTACTCTTCTTTATTTTGTTTTGAGACAGACTCCTGCTAAATTGCCTAGGCTGGCTTCAGCTTGGCTCTCTGTAGTCTACGAAGGCCTGGAGCTCGGATCCTCCTCCTTCAGCCTCCTGAGTAGCTAGGATGTTAGGCATGTGCTGCCACACTGGGCCTGACTCTCTTATCTAACATTTTCCATCGTTTAGAGATTTCTCTTAAAGATTCTTGCTGCTGAAGCTGTTTCTTTCTGTTGAAAATTTTTCTAAAGGATTTAATTTCTATAATAAGTTTAATATGACCTAAATGTCACCCTAAATGTAAAGCATGAGTTGTGACAAATGCCAGGAAAAGAAGTGTTTGCAGTCACAAAACCTTAACTGAACCACTCTTAATCACAGCAAAAATAAATGAATAAATTATAAAGATCTCAAATGTTCACCCCAAATGCACAATAGGATTCCAGTCTGTTCATACCATATCATACAATATAGTGTCATTGGTACCAAAGGGCAGTCATTTAGTGCTCTTGAAAACTGAAAAGAGGATCTTGTCTAGTCTGCTTTCTGTTGTTGTGATAAAGAACCAGCCAAAAACCAAATGGGGGAAATGGGTTTATATTCAGCTTACAACTCCCAGGTCACAATCTATCACTGAGGGAAGTCAGGGCAGGAACCTGGAGGCGGGAACTGAAGCAGAGACCATGGAGGAATACCACTTACTGGCTTGTTCTCCTCGGCTTGCTCAGCTACTTTTCTTATACAGCCCAGGCCTGCCTGGCAAGGAGTGGCACCAGCCACTGGTCTGAACCCTCCCACATAAATTTAGCAATTAAGAAAATGCCTCACAGACATGGCCACAGGTCTCTTTTCCCAGGTAACTCTGGTTTATGTCAAGTTGAGAAAAACTAAGAGCACAGACCTTAAATATGAGAATTTTTGTGGTCATTGACCATTGCTGTTTACATTGAAAGTTTAAGCCAGATGGCACTGGGTGAAATAATTCCAATTTAGGGGACAGTTCATTATGGGAAAGGAACGTGTGTCTATCATTTAACTGTCAAGCTTTCAAATTATCTGTCTACCAATCTCTATCTGCCATCTATCTATCCAACCGTCTATGTTGAGCTAGCAGTTATCCATCCATCCATCATCTGTCTTCTATGTACAGATATACATATAGGTCTACAGAGGAAGTACAGAGGTGGAGAAAGCAAACCATGGGTTATCACTGTACTTTAGTCTTACAAGCACGTTGATCTAAGCAGCATAAAAAATTTGTGGAATGCCAATCAAAAGCTCTATAATGTAAAATTCTATGGGGCGGGGGGAGTCCAGTGAGATCAAAGTCAAGAACCTTGTGGGAAGAGCAATCACAAAGAGCCAGATTCTTATTCATCCAGGCAGCAAACACATGGCCTTTCTGTTTATCTGTCTGTCCACTGATCACACATCCAGCTTTGATTCTGAATTCAGAACTTAGAAAGCTATCAACAGGGTCTGAGCCAATATCCTTATGTGAGCTTGAAAATTTGAAGTCAGATTGGCCTAGCAGATTACTAATTTGGCTGAACATTTCAACAATAAAGACTTGGCCTTCTGACTGGGTGATATAGAAGATATTTCTATAAATCGAATGAACTAAATTCTTAGAGTCAAAATTTTGATGTTGCACATCAAATTACATATTTTTATTATATTTGTGCTGAACACAATTTTAGATGTTATTTTAAAGTAGATGAGGACAGTAAATAACTTTTTAAAAAATGTACTGAGGGATGTGTGAGGAAGAGTTTTAGAAAGCCATTGGTCTAGGGTACAAGGTCTGCCCTCAAAATGGGAGAAAGAGAAATTAGAAACTTGTTCCTGAAGAAAGTAGCTGATATTCAAAGGCCTGGGCTTTTTGAGAATTCTCCTTTCCAGGGTCAGAAACTGAATATTGTATTGGCACTCCTCTTCGTATCCCTGCCACAGAATTCATCCTCCCAAGGTAGAAGAATACTTGAGGGGTAGGGCACCAAAGAGGTCAAAGAGGTAAGAGGACAGAACTCACATTTATAACATTTTTAAAGACAGCATCCCATTATGTATACAGGTCCCAGTCAGAGCATTATCGAAGAAAGCTCTAGCTAGTGAAATGTTCTGTGATGAGGGAAACATATTGTTAGACATGGTAACCACTGGATGCGTTCCCTATTGAGCATTTGAAGTGTGGCTAATATGATTTGGGAACTGAATTTTTAGCTAGATAGTTTTTCAGAGTCAGGATCTCTCTCTGTTGTTCAGACTGACCTCAAACTCCTAGACTTAAGGAATCTTCCCCACGCTATCATCTCATGTAGCCAGAACTACAACACATTTGTACCACCATGGTCAGCTTGTTTCAATTAACATTTCAATATTTGAGTAGCGCTGTTGGGTATGGTTTTAGTGCCCAGGTCCAACAGAGGCAAGCAACAGAGGATTGTTTTTGTACAGTAATTGGTAGAAAGAATTGTAGCTCTGAAGATTTAGATGCGTTTGTTTGTGGTAGTAAATCCATTATAGACATTTTAGGAAGTAAAGCAAGGCAGAGAAGAGAGGGTAAGAGGTCTCAGGGGGTAAAGGCACTTACTACCAACTCTCATAAACTCCATCCTCAGGGCGCATATGGAAGGAGAAAACCAACTCCCACTGTGGCATTCTCACACATGTGCTCAAAATAAATAAATAAAATTTAATAAATTTAAAAGAGAAAAACAAGAAAAAATTACCTGTGATCTCAGCTCTTAGAGAAAATCAGTATTAAAAGTTAACAACTTCCCCTTAACAATGACTGTCACTCTGATTTTTTTGTGTGTATATTCATGTGCATGTGTGTTTGTGTATGTACATGTGGAAGCCAGAGGTCAACGTTAGCTGTCTTCCTCAATTGATTTATACCTTTTTTTTGAGACAGGATCTCTCACTGAATGTAGAACTCATCAACTTGGCTAAACTGACTGGCCAGTGAGCCCTAGGGATCTTCCTGTCTCTGTCTCCCCGGGGTTGGGATTATAGGCGCATATCACCATGCTGGGCTTTGAATGTCTCTCTGATTGTGTTTGTATGTTTCTAATACCACAGTCTCTCTCCCCCTCCCCCTCCCCCTCCCCCTCTCCCTCTCCCCTTCATACACACACAATAATAACAACAATAAATAAATAAAAGTAAAGAAAATTTGTGCACTTTTCTTCATTTTTTTCTCGTTTTTATGTTTAGCATTAAGTTTTCCTTTTTGCACTGGACGTTGACTAATGCAGCTGGGACTTACGTGTTGAATCACTTGTTCCTAATTACAGGCTTTTGATAGTTATTTTAAACTAGTTCTCACCATGTCAAACTTGTGTTTTGAACACAATTCAAAGAAAAAGACTTTGGGACTACCTAGCATTTTAATTAAAGTTCTCCAATAAATAAAAATATCCTACACAGAAAATGAGAAAAACCCAGTTGAATAGGGTTCAAGCGTGTCAGGCAATTAAAACTACAATCATGAGGCTGATGAGATGGATCAGTGGGTGAAGGAGCTTGCCACTAAGCTCGAAGACCCGAGTGTGGTCCAGGGACTCACAGGATAGAAGGAGAGCAGTGATAGCTCAGAAAATTGTTATTGAATATGTCAATGCTGTTGTAATGAAATGCTTCTTCTAAGTATGTGGTTATTAAATAAATAATTAACTGGGAAAAATAATAAACCACATTCTCAAAAATAAAAAAATTTTAAAAGATCTCCATTTCATTTTAAGATATGCTATTTCTTACATTTTTAGTGCTTCTAACACTTAGATGTTTGCATGTGTCTTTAATCTCTATGTATCTGATTATTACTAGTCACAGTCAGTTACACTCGGATCCTTAGTACCTGAGTATGGATATAAAGTCATCAGGCATGCTCTCACACTGTAACTCAGACTGGCCTAAAACTCACTATGTAGCCCAGGCTGGCCTGAGACTCCTGAAAATCCTCTGGTTTGTCCTCTTGGGTGCAGGGATTACAGGTGTGGTCTGCTAAGTTGGTGTCATATCACTTATTTTCAATGGCTATATAGTATTTCACCATGTGGCAATGTCATTATTAATTTATGTTTCTAATATTTAAAAGCAAAATAAGGCTAAGTGAAACAAAATTTCTTTCATATGAAAAAAGTAAAACTACCTATGCATCATTAGTAAGAATTTGATGTAGCCCCCTAGAAAAGCATTTTATAGTCCAGCCTTGCATCTTGACTGACTAAAATTCAGTGCATTTTTTAATCAACTATCTCTGGGTTATCTGAAGCGATGTGGATGAAGATCCATGTCAATATGACTATGTGCAGAAGCTATTTGTGCTAGGAAATCTTTTCACGTCTTCTAATATATCACCACCCAAACTTCTTCCATGTGATTATATCCAGTCTTGCACTTTTAGCCAGAGTTTCCTACAGTGTTTTATGGTCTTCGGCGAATTGACATTATTTGCTGATGAGCTCATGAATCCCGAGGGAGGGGCAAGCAACCTTTCTTGA